TGGAGAATGAGTTTGGAAAGAGAATGATGTTTTCTTGGGCATTAACGGTATTATTTTGCTCAGTGTATCTGTTGGAATAAAATTGACACGGTTAGAAATGGACCTTGAGAGGTTATCGGACGTGATTGTGATATGAAAACTAGTGTAGTTGTTCATATTTGATGAGATGTGGAATAGATTGTCTTTATCGAAATTTTTGAAATTTAATTGTTTAAATATCTGTTTAGAAATATTTGTTTTGGGCTATCGGTGGAGGATAGCCATGATTGTTATAGAAATGCATGAGGGAAATTGAACCACATTCCTCATTTGTTGCATTGGACATTGCATTACATTCATTTCATTGGAAATGTATCTGTTTTTGAGAAATGTTTGGAAATGTATCTATTTGCGAAAAGATGAATACTTGGTGAATCTGGGTAGAGGGTGTGGAACCGCATGGTTTGGTATCGAGCCTTCTAGTTTACTGGTAAAAATGATAGTGGTAATGCATTAGGGCCTACTTGCAGACACTCACCTAGAGATTCACAGAGCATGTATTCATGTAACAGATATGGTTTAAAATATGAATGGTTTTATATCTGTTGTTGCATCTCAGCATTGCATGCTTTATAAAAAGAGAGATAAACTGTTTTATCATGAGCATGGCATGGGTATTCTCCTCTTTAGTCTTGTCATGGTCCATATGTTGTGTAGTATATCTCTACTGGGCTATGACTCACCATATAAGGGAAACCATTTCAGGTGCAGGTGATACGCCTCCGCCAAGGCATTGACTTGGGAGGACTCGGAGCTGAGGTTTCATTTTTGTTTTATGGTTATTTGTTGAATGTAAGACCAAGGTTGTATTTGCGTCGAGTTGAAACTCTATTTTGTGTAACTATGAATGTTCTTGGATAAATTTGTAAACCTGTAGGGCACTTATTATCTGTTTGGTTTTCATTTCATACTTGTTATAAAATGCATCCTTGGGATTAGAACTTGGGCATTGAGATGTGAATAGCATGTATTTGGCATTTAGGATTTAATGGAAATGAATGTATGAAATAGTTAGCTATATATATATGTGTTTGTCTATCAAATGGGTTTTGTTGCATAAATAGATATACCCTGCCTAATTTTCGAGGCGTTACAATGGGTGACTTGACATGCGTTTGCAGCTTGTCGGGGGCATTATTGAGAACAACTTCACATAAGGCACTTTTCAAGGGTTGTCTATATCAAGTAATATTTCCCACAATGTACGGCAATGAGAAAGTTCAACGTATATCTTCTCATTAGGCCTCGTTTGGCAACCAAACGTTTTAGTCAAAAAGTTATTAAATTAGCTAAAAAGCCAACAATCCATACCAAAAAGTCAAAAGATTCTCTTTTCTCTCTACGTTTTGCACATCTTTTCGTAAAAAGTCAAAAAGTCATCACAAACACACTAGTTTTTTTTAACTCATATTTTAGCCAAATAGCCAAAAAGTTACTAAATTAGCATGTTCCCAAACAAGGCCTTATAATTGGATTCATCACATCCAAAATCTGAAAGAGAAGCAGACAAGCTTTAAGAAAATAACATTTGGAAAAAAAAAAAAAAAATACTTTACCAAAAACTCTTGTTTAATTTGCATTAATTTTTTTAAAATTGAGTTTTTATTTTTATTTTTATTTTTATTTTTTATTTCTAATAATTTTTTTAATATTATTAATTTTTTTTTTACTTTCTAAATGCACCTATTATAGATATACTTAAAAAGTAAAATATTTGTAAATTTTTTTTTAAAAAAAATTCACTAAATATAAAAAAATGTAAAAATTCAGTATATTTTCATATTGTTGTGTATTTAGTGATTTTTTTAAATATTTTTCAAAAATATTTTTTTTAGTTGCATCTACAAAAGTAAAAATTTCTTAAAATATTAAAAACATTACTAAAAAAGGTTTTAAAAAAAAAAACTTAATTTTAAAAAAATCAATCAAAACCAAATAAGTTTGGGTCCTATTGCTTCACAGTTAATGTATTATTTTATTTTATTTTTTGAAAATTTAGGGTGATCATAATTGTACAATATTGCTTTTCCTAAAACAATATTTACCCCCAGTTGGTGTCCATTAATACTAACAAATTGCTTCTGAAGCTCATATTAAGTTTGCAAATCTACCAAGAGACTAGAAACCTATTTCAGCAGAAAATTAGAATGCAAAATAAGCTTTGACAACAGGCTTTGCCAAAAATAAATTAAGGTTCGTTTGAAAATTAGCTTTTTTAGTGTTTTTTTTTTTTTTTTTTTTAGAAAAAAAGATGTAAAAAAATAGAAAAAATAAATTGACTTTTTGTAATGATTTTTTTACTAAAATATTATCATCCAAAACCGAAGAAACATGATTGTAAACATAAAGGAATAATGGTGTAAATAATTGATTTAGCCTTATTGCCTGGTTTTCTTAAAAACAAGTGAAACAAATTTTAAAAACTCCCAAACTAGAAATATTTTTATCCTATATTTCAAAAATGTTCCAATGCGGCCCCCCCCACTCCCTGCCACTACCACCGCCCACTTTCAACTACCCCAACACCGGTCTCTGCCAACATCCCCATCTCTTATCATTAATTTCGTCAGCTCATTAAACATGTTATTATTATTATTATTATTATTATTATTATTATTATTATATGTTTTGAATATATTTGTGCATATCAAACAGGTTTTTTGCTATTATCTTCGTTTTAAAAAAATACTGCTTGTTTCACATTTACAAAAAATAAAAAAACTAACAACGTTATCAAATACTAAACAAAAGCTATATTAAATAAGAATGATCTTTTAGGTAGGGTGGATCCTCGTAAACACTAAACACTAGCAACTAAGGATTTCACAGTTCTATCATATTACTCTAATACTATATATTCATAGTTGAACTGCAGCATTTTTCAATCTTGAACTGTAATTCTTTCAAATCATAGTGAAATCGCAACGATGATGGACATAACTTTATTTTGAGATAAACAACATAAATCTTTGTATTCTTTCTGTTTGATTTATATAATCATTTTATTTATGTTTGTATTTCGTGTCTTTCTAATCCTAGTTAAAGTGTATCAATTCTTTCTTCTTCTTCTTTGGTTGGGAAAAAATGTCAATTCTTAATACGGCGGAAAATGTTTGGGACTTCCTTTGGGGATGACCCCCACACCCTCAAAGTGATCATGGCCCTCCATGTATGTGTGGGGTCCACATCATGAGTGGTCCAAATTTGTGCGAGTATTATGGGGGTGGGGATCTCAAATATTACTCATTTGCATCATGACTTATTCTAACATGTCACTGTCAAATAACCTCTTGTACACGGTTTAATTGTCAAAAAAATATTTAAAAAAATCTTTTTAAAAAGATATTTTTTATCTAAACAAATAGAACTTTATTGCCGTGCATATAATAAACTATTCAACATTCATACCCCCATAGTTCAAGGTTCCAAGTCTTTAATGTCGTGCTTATAATAGACTATTCAACATTCATACCCCCATAGTTCAAGGTTCCAAGTCTTTAATGTCGTGCTTATAATAGACTATTCAACATTCATACCCCATAGTTCAAGGTTCCAAGTCTTGGGTCATCGATTAAGAAAAATCTACATAAGGAACAAATTTAGGGAATTTTATTGATGAAAAGGAAATGATCAACATTTAGAGGACCTCAATTTTTCTATTATTTCTACCTATATTTTACTTTTGAAATGAATCTAACGGCAAATATAGAACTAGAGCCATTAAACAAGTTGAATAACAAATTATTATAATTTAATTTAAAATTTGAATAAATTTTAAAACGTGCTGATTGAAAAAAGATATGCCTCGTATATTAATTGACTGAAATCAGATTTTGTTGTAAATTTAAATTTTAAAACAAGCGAAAAAGTCATGTACATACTTTTGTTTGGTGGGTTTCAAAATTTTATTATTCGGATTAGATTCCAATGATCATTTTATCCATCAAAATTGACGATTTCTTTAATCCTATAACTAATAACACAAAACATACATATAATTGGGATTATATATTTCCATATTTATTACAAAACAAACGTGGACAAGAGGGAATTATATATCTCACCAATCCAACTAGATAACCAATCCTATACTAATCCATGGATTGTTAATCCCTCACGATTAATTCAGCTAATCAAACATACCCTTAGAGTGTAGTTATTAATTTTGCTAATCAAACATACCCTTGGAGTGTAGTAATTATGGTGTGTGAAAATCCAGATTATCAATAAGTTGCCATGATTAAGATGCAAATATGATTCAGATAAGAATTATATGGCTATGGAATTCCAAGACTTCTTGACTTCCAAGTCCAACTGAAGGGTAGAAAGTCAATATCCATACAAAAGTCCAGCTGAAGACATAACTGTCCTGTAAGAGTTCTTCGGCATTCATTTATAAAAACAGATGGATTTCATGAATTAGACATTACACCATCAATGGAAGGCCTCAAAATACCTTTCTTTTTTTCCTCTTTATTTTCCATCTTAATAATCTCCAACGCAGCAGACACCATAACCAAAACTCAATCCATAACAGGCAAAAATACCATTATTTCATCTGGTGGAAGCTTTGAGATGGGTTTTTTTAGCCTTGGCAATTCCCAGAATACATACATGGGAATATGGTACAAGAAAATTTCTATTAGGACCGTTGTATGGGTTGCCAACAGAGAAATTCCACTTGTCAATTCATTAGGCATCTTAACAGTAATCGACCCTGGAATTCTTGTCCTTTTCAATGGTACCGGCAGTGTCATTTGGTCTACCAATGTGACAGGATCCACACAGGACCCTGTTGCACAACTTATGGAGTCAGGAAATCTTGTTGTGAAAGATGTGAATGATAATATTTTGTGGCAAAGCTTTGATCAATGAAATAAAGGAATGTGGTTAGTTTATATGTAAATGCTTGTCTTATCTGATGGGTTTAATGTTATTATTTTGAGGGCGTTACAGATGATCCAGCTCAAGGTGATTTTTCCTTTTGGTGTGATCCCCAAGGATATCCACAATTTATTTTGAGAAATGGTTCCATTGAGCTGCATCGATCTGGACCATGGAATGGTATCGGATTAGGGAATGCAAACCTCAAACCAAACCGCATCTACAAATATGGATTGGTTTATACCAAGGAGGAGGTGTATTATGGTTATGAACTCATCAGCTCAGTTGTTTCGAGGCTTACTCTGAGTCAAGACGATGTTATACAACGCTGGATATGGATTAATCGAACGCAGGAATGGGTCCTTTACCTGACTGCAGCAACAGATAACTGCGATAATTATAAACTATGTGGTCCAAATAGTAAATGTATTGCTGAAAACTCGCCAGTATGTGGCTGTTTGAATAAATTTGTGCCCCAGAACCAAACAGAATGGGGAAATGGAGATTGGTCTAATGGGTGTGTTCGGAGGACACAATTGGATTGCCACAACGGAGATGGATTTCTCAAGTATTCGCGATATAAGATGCCAGACACACGGAACTCCTGGTTTGACAAGAGCATGACCCTGAGGGAATGTGAGATGATATGCTTGAAAAACTGCTCTTGTATGGCTTACGCAAATTTAGATATAACTGGTGGCAGAAGTGGTTGCTTGCTTTGGTTTGAGGAGTTAATTGATATGAAAGAGCTCCATGAAAATGGGCCAGAAATTTACATAAGGATGGCTTCCTCTGAGTTGGGTAAGAATTCATACCAAACATAGATTAATTAGATTATATTTTACATATGTAAGAATCATAGTTACATATGTTGAATATATACATTTCTTCCTTAAACATACCTCTATAATACATTTTTACATCTAACTACAGTTTAGAAAAAAGAAGTGTTCATCTTGGTTTTTATCTTAGACATTGATTTCTGCTCTAGGTGTGTCTTGAATTCGATCCAAATGATGTTTATTACCCATCCTTGGCCTGCATGGACTGATCCTATAGGTTCGACTTGCTATTTGTATTATCTGATTGGGTTATTTCAAGGTTCTAGAATTATGATGATCCTGTGAACTTCTGGAAATAGGTTGTTGAGAGAGAGAGAGATATATATCCGTCATTTTCCGCCCATAGATATAGGCTTATAGGTGAACTATGTAAATGATGTAGGATGAGTAGAGTGGACTTTTAAAGTTGACAGTATATAACAACCCTCATTTTGTCTCAGTCATATTCATGTTCATGAGAATTTACATGATTTTGGTTTGTTAAGCTGGCATTTATAGATTTTGATAGTTTGTCTAAGTAAAGGTTCATGTCTTGTTTTGATGCTGTTGTGTTGTGCCTAAGTGTTATATCCATGCTTTGTTCCTTGCTTTTTATGCTGAACCTATGCCAGTTACCTTTGTTACCTTACGCCGAGATGACACCTTTGAACCTCTTACACCTAGACCGTTGAGTGTCAACACCTAGGATCATCTTGGAATCATTTTGGCTGACCTCCCCTACGCCCTCGCACCTTGGCCGAGGTGTGCATCACCTTAGCATCCGAGATCTCTGATCCTTGAACCTTGCAGTTGTGTTGGGCACCTTCTTGTTGACTTGTACAACCCAGATTGAGGTGTGTCATACCTAGGCCAAGGGTTACCTCTCCTAGCCGAGATCAAGAAGAACTCACTTATCTTTCTCTTGTATGAAGCCTATGTTTTTTATCCAAGATCCTTGCCTTGTCAGAGTGCCCATGCCACCTTATTTGTTGTATACACTTTGACTTACTCTTGTCTTTTCATTCTGGAACCTTTTTTAGGAGACTTGACCAGATGATGCCACATGTCCTAGTAGTGGTTTAAGTCAATTAGCAGTTGAGAAACCCATATCTTTTGCCTTATCCTTGTCTTGAGAAAAGAGAGAAACTCTAGGAAGAATAAGAAGTTCTTAAAGTGAGAGGACTAGATTTCCAAGCTTGATTCTCATACTTTGGACCATTCAATTTGTGTTTTGAGGTTAGATTCTTGATCCATTCTCGTTGTTCTTTTATGTTGATCTGATCGCATTGCATGATCTAGCATGATTCATGAGCCATGCATTGATTTAAAGATTTGTTTTGAAAAGAAAAGAGATGTTGCATTCTTGAAGAATAGCCATGTTTTGATCCAAAAGTCTATACCAAGTTCTGTGTTTTTGTGTTTGTTTCCATGGAATCTTCAAGTATGGGTACCTAGGTCCATGTTTTTGAACTCATATAATGAAATCTCAGATTTTGAATAAGAAGTTATGATTTTAGCATTTATGTTCTTCATGTTCATGTTCTTCACGTTCTTCAAGAGGAGACCTAAATTTTCAAACTTCACTATTTCCCTAAGAGTCACTCTTGTCTAGACCTTACAACTAGGCCAAGCAGTTCATCTCACCTTGGCCTACCTTACATGATCATTTGCACCTTGGCCTACCTTACATTCATACCTAGGCGGACCACAACACACACTTGGCGACACTTTGTGTCACCTCGGTCAGGCAGACCACACCTCGGCCAAGACCTCTTGAGTTCACCCAGCTAGGCTCACCTATGTGCATTCCTTCCCACACCTGGTTTGTACCTAGCATGCTTTTCCATGAAGAAAAACATTGATTTAACTCCCAAAACATGTTTTGCTCTGTTTTGACTTAGTTCTGGAAAGAAATGCCAAGATCTATTTTACTCCTTTTAAGCTTGCTTTGAGAGTGCATTGCATAACCATTTTTTAGCATCTTTTTTTGTCTTCTTGCAATGCATTCAGTGGACTTTGCCATTTATTTATAGGTCTTGGATCCTTACCTTAACCCCTACATCCGAAGAGCTATTGTGAGTGGTGTTTTTAATAAAGTTATGTTATAATGTTTTGATAAAAGCTTTGCTTTGTTTGGGAAAAGTATTTGATCAAGCATGGATGATTATCCCTTCGTTTTTGTATCAAGTATTATATTTGTTTAGATGACATTCTTGGAAGGTCCTTAGTGCTAGGAGATTTTAATGCAACTAGTACTTTTGTTTGAGATATCTCCTTTGCCACTGACGGGTTGACTTGTCTAATCGATTCCGGGTTAGTTATTCCTTTGTTTTGTTTTAATGAATATCATCCTTTGTATTATGCGGATGTTAGTAAACATCCAAAGAAGCTTTGAAAAACTTTGATTGATGAACTCGGTTTATCATTTGATTTTGTTACAAGCTATGATATATATTGTTTTGATAAAATCTCGGATATCATTTATAAAAACATTTTTTACTTATATCATTCACTGAGTTTTCAGCTCACCCCTCTTTCTTATATATATATATATATATGTAGGTGATTGTGGGGGAGTATTTTATGAATAATGGCACGTGGCTAAGGTGACATCGAAGTGTTGGCCAAGGTACCACGTGGCCCGAACACGTTACTGATATGATCTCGGCAAGGTTGAGGTAATCTGCGGAGATGTCAGAATCCGAGATAAGCGGATAAGGAGGCGGGAATCCTGGACAAAAGAGGGCTCTAGTCTGGATAAGGATAAAGCTCTTAGAGAGTTTATCCCTATCTAGCAAGAAGTCCAGGATAAGCATTATGTGCTAGAGACCTATGAAGTGAGGCTTCTAGGGGAGTTGGACACTAATGGCTATAAAAGGGAAGAACCCCCATGGGTCTCAAGTATGTGTGATATACTGTGAGCACTAAGTTCTTTCTTGTAAGTTAAGCATAATTTGCTATCTTTGAGAGATATTTGGTTACTGACTTGATCATCGGAGTGCCCCCGGATGGATGAACCACTGCCGGGTTCTTATCTTTCCGTGATAGGTTGTTTGGGCTTAATCTATTCTGTCAGTGCTCTCCAGTTGAGTTTCCCATTTGGTTGTGTGGTCATAAATTAACACCCACAATTTGGCGCCATCTGTAGGAATTTAAGGAGAATAGACGGCCAACAATGGGCAGGAAGAAAAGGTTGGGAACGACATCAGTAGTGAGAGTTGTGAACATGAGGATCCTAACGTCGGGAACGAACCATGTAACGAGAGAGCACATGATCCGAATCAGGGGGAGAAAGACGTCGACAAAGATGGGAATACCCCTAACAAGTCTGGCCGAGATAAGTATTACAATGAAAGTGACCTCCAGGTATGGAAAGATAGATGCCTAAGGAGGGACAACAAGATGAAAGAGATGGGCAAAAAATTGGCCGACCTTCAATTTGTGGTCCACTTTATGATGTAGAACAACGTGATACAACCACCATTCCCGTTGCAGGACACTCCGTTCCCAGCGGCCAAGACCGATGCCCAGAAAGGGTGGCAGAAACCAGTTCCAGTAGTCCCACAACATGGTAGAGAAAATGAATGCTCACATCGGCCATCACAGGATGTCGGCCGCACTGAATCAATACGTGGTCAGTCGTAGAAGACAGCACGAACAAACAGGACTTACATCAAGGAACCTCGGCGTATCCAAGGGAAAGAACTTTGTTTTGATGTAGTAGATGAGAGGAAGTCCAAGAGGACAAATAATGACATTGGGAGCAGTGCCCCAAAAAAGTTAAAATCCGTTAATAGCCGAGCTCCTGGACGAGAGAAGGAAGATTTGAGAAACTACCTCCAGAAGAAGCAACATAACACCGAGGTCACATCCCCTGTCAAACCAAGGACTCCATTTTCAGCCGAGCTGGATACATTTGAAGTCCCAAAGAGATTTCACATGCCGAGGTTTCAGATTTATGATGGTAAGACTGACCCGAACTTCCACGTTGGTTTATATTTAAATTCAATGGCATTATGGACAGGGCATGAGCAGTTATCGTGTAAAGTGTTTCCCTCGACCTTTAGAGAGATTGCATCGGATTGGTTTCACAAGTTGCCGATAGGAACTGTGAAAAGTTGGGAAGGCCTGGCCAAAATGTTTGTGGCCAGATTTGTTATGAACAAGCTACAACCACTAATGGTGGACTCCCTACTAGCTTTGAAAATTAGCGAGGGTGAAAGCCTCAGGGCTTATGCCAAATGGTATTATGAGGTGTTCAATCAAATACTGGCATGTAACCAGGAGGTAGCAGTCATTTCATTTAAAAATAGCTTGGAGGATGACTACCCCCTCCGAAAATCTTTGGTAAAAACACTACCAAAAAGCATGGAAGAGCTCATGACAAGAATAGAGAAGTATTCTAGGGCAGAGGAAGACACACCGGAAGTAAAAGTACCAAAACAGGAGAAGAGAAACGGCTCGCCGAAGCGAGGCCGAGGTAATACCACAGTTAATAGGCAGGAGATTGAATTAAGGGTTGCGCAAGCAATTAATACTGTATTCAGGATCCCAATCCATAAGGTTCTAGAGAGGATCGGGAACCAACCATATTACAAAGCGCCAGAGAAATTTCACGGCGAGTTTATAGGGAGGAGCTTTGGAAAGCACTGCGCTTACCACAATGAGGATGGGCATTTTACACGGGGATGCAGGGCCCTAAAAACACATTTTGAGGACTTAGTTGAACAAGGTCATTTAAGAGACCTGGTGGACGAGGCCAGAACAAGGAAAGAGCATGCAAGGTTTCCTCCAGCATTAGTAGCATCGCCTCCACCTCTGCCACCGCAACAAGCAGATAGACCCCGGGTGATCAATGTGATTCACTCAAGAGTTAATGAGAACGAAGTTAGGGGGGAAACACAAAGTGTAAAACACTTACAACACGTATACCAGGTTCAATTGAAGAAGCCTAGAATGTATGAAAATAAGGGACCGACG